GGGGGGGAATGTGTGAATTTGAGCATCAGAAAAGGAATTCTTCTATGGAGCACACACAGAGGAAGTTTGGCATACTTACTTCTGAGAAAGAAAAATCAGATTATCTGGGTCAGCAATAAGGGTGCTGCCAGTTATTCTAACCCTATATTGTATCCTGAATTCCTGCTTCTGAAAATGCTGGGTTTTGTAATGTGAAGAGCATGGTAGGCAGAAAGGGTTCAGAGCCACATTTTAAAGAATTTTATTTATGTTTTTCCTATCACCATTTATCCCCCCTATACCCTATTCGACCTCCCCCTGTCCCTGCAATCACCACACTATTGTCGATGTCAATGAGTTCCTTCTCTTTTGTGGCCACCCCTGTAGCCACCCTCCCCAGCTGTCAGTCTGCTCTCTATGAGCTTGTCTCTATTTTGCTTGTTAGTTCAGTTTGTTCATTAGATTCCACATGAGTGAAATCGTATGGTACTTGTCTTTCTCTGACTGGCTTATTTCACTTAGCATAATGTTCTCCAGGCCCATCCATGCTGTTGCAAAGGGTAAAAGTCCCCTCTTTTTTACGGCCGAGTAGTATTCCATTGTGTAAATGTACCACAGCTGCTTTATCCATTCATCTACTCATGGACACTTGGGTTGCTTCCAAGTCTTTGGAGCCACATTTGAGACTCCCTGCCTCAAAGTCTAATAATTTAAGAGACTGTGGTGTTTTATGCAAGTTTTTCTGTGGGTGTAAAAGGCTGGTGAGGGAAGCCAACACAATTTCTCAAAATATTCCTGAGAAGTCAGGTGCTGAAAATTTTTCAAAAGAAATCTGAAAAGGTTTTTCAAGAGCAACCCTCTGTAGATAACTGATCATCCTTTCCCTTCAGGACGAGTGGAGACAATAGAGACTTACCACAAATACTAAGCTACAGAAATGGGTCATCTGAGGTGCAACTGAATTTGACTTTTGAAAAAAAGTTGAAAGGATGGGGCTCTTTTAGCCTTGTTTCCTCTCAGCTTAAAATAGGAAAATTCCCAGAGGGCAGTTCTCTATTAGAATCTTGCTACGCAACTGGGGGATTCTTAGATATGAACAATCTCAGGCCCCATCCTAAACTTACAGAATCAAAATCAACCCAGTAACAAAGGCCCCAGGTGATTCACATGCACACTGAAGTCTGAGAAGCTGGTGAAGAGAGAGCACTGTCCTCACACAGCAGCAGACACTCAGGGAGGAAAGGGGTAGAGGTGGTTGCCACTTTCCAGTTAGGGGATCTGAACCACTCCAGAAGTTAACTGAGCACCCTGCTTGCTGATTTCAATATAACAACACCAGCTACTGTTTACTCAAACACATGTACTGAAACTCTGCATGTGTCATCTCATTGCATCTTCACAGTATCTCTGTAAGTTCTATGTTATCTTTTTCACACATAAAAGGAAATTGGGCCTTAAAATGGTCAAATAATTTGCCCATGGTCTCACAGCAAATGAGTAGAGGAGCCAAAAGCTGAACACAACTTTGTAAGATTCCAAGATTATTTCAATTACAACACACTTATTCACTGATAAAAATCAAATCAAGACTGCAAAAATCATTGGAAATTTTACCTTGGATAGAACCCTGCAGTCTGCCTCTGCCCATTACCAAGACTGCACACAACCAGTAATGGAGGAGAGGTTTGAGGCTCCATGTACACACACAGTACGTGACTTTCCAAAGGCTGGGGCTCTGGTCCAGTACTGCTTCCATGACTGATGTCATTCAGAGAATGATTCCAGAAACTCTTGTCGATATTGCCCTCTATGATGTCTAAAGTGAGTTCTAGATGCATACGTGGAAAAAAGAGTACATCTACAGGCAAATAAATGATTTGTTAGAACTCTTACCCCCATTTTTAGGGAACTCAGAGTGACCATCCTTAAAAGAGGAAAATGTATTACCTTAAGTGGTCTGCTTTTCCTTAGTATGTTTCAGTCATAACCTCCCATATTTCTAACTTACTCTGGCATCCCCTCCACTACAGTTTTTGGCTTCATGAAGTCCCCTACCCCCAACCACATTTTCCTTTATCTATCCCCTCCAATCCTGTCTTCCACTCACTGCATGGTACATAATTACAATCCCTCCCTTCTGAATACCCACAATCATTTGTCCTCTCCATCACTACCACCTGTCAAAACTCCCATCCTGGTTAAATACAGTTATCTGCATTCTCTGTGCCTGGGCACAATCAGCTGAATGTTGCCAGAGATAAATCACATAACCAAGCTGACTGACTTCATTATATATTCATGACACAAACCTCAATTTGGCACTTGTCAATGAATGCCAGACAATCCTACCAAAGCTGCCCTTGTAAGCCTTCGGGTTCACCACAATTACTATTTCTTATCTATTCCTCAAACCTATTTCATTCTCTCCCTACCACCCAACTCTCAGCTGTTGCTCTACCCAACAAATAAAAACATTTTATTTTAAAAGAGGAGCATTCAGACAGTCTCTTCTGTCCACCAAATCTACAACCATGCCTAGAAATGCAAGCACCTCTTCCCCCTTCCATCTGTTAGAATGAAGGGTGCATCCCTAGCAGCAAAGGCCCAATTCACCACTTGTGCTCACACCCCATCCTGCCGAGCCTGTGTGAGGACTGTGCTACTACTGTTAAATCATCCATCGTCTCCCTCTCTAATCATTACTGTCATACCAGCAAATAAATGCGCATGCATCTTCAGAAAACCTCCCCTCTGCTCTCATATACTGATGGGGAAAGTAGACATTGGTATCCACTCTGAAAGTCAGATTGGGAATATCTAGTCAGTTTTGAAATGTGCATAGCCTACAGCTCAGCAATTCTACCTCCAAGGAGCCTATCTTAGAAAATCCCCACTGGAGTAGAAAATAGTACACTGTAGCAATCTGTAAAAGAAAAAATACAAATGTCCAGTAATAGGTCAGTGACTAAATGAATCACAGTTTTTAAAAAAAAATTCTCCTTCAACCCCTCTCCTCCTCCTAGCTACCTACCATTTTCCACTCACCACTTCACAGTAAAACTTCTTTAAAAAGCTGTCTCCACTTCACCTCTCATTTCTTCTTCAATCTACTCAAAACAGAGTTTCCAAGCTCTCCACTCTATTAAGTAACTGGTCAATGTCAACCACTTCCACGTTACTTAACCCAATGGACATTTTGCTGTCCTCAGCTTATCTGACCTCACAGCAGGACTTGACGAAGTTGGCAACCTTCTTAAACATTCTCTTCTTCTAGCTTCTGAGATACTACAACCCTGGTTTATTTCCTGCATCACCGACTACTTCTCAGTATCTTTTTCTGGCTTCTCCCTCAACAGACCTCTAAAAAGGAAGTATTCCTGGGGGCTCATACTCGTCTCTTTTTCAGTTGTCTCATGCATTCCCACTGCTCCAAATGTCATCAGCAGGCTCATGATTACCAGTTATATCCCTAGCCTAGATCTCTTCTTATGCTCCAATATGACTACATAGCTGTCTCAGAGGCAAGTCAAACATACGTTCGCAAAACTGGGCCCTTAAATCGCCGCCGCCACCACCCTTGAAATCTGGTTTACTCCTGGAGTGCCCCACCTCAGCAGGTGGTATTACTTTGCAATTATGAAAGCCAGAGACTCTTCCCTTTTCGATCACCCCCATATCAAACCCATTAGTAACTCCTGTGTGTCTGACTTCTCGATATGTCCAATGCCACCAACTTAACTCAAGCTACCATCACTCTTTCCTGGACATCACAATAGTTCCTCCACTCCCACTGTTGCTTCTCTTCAAAACATTCATGACAGTGGCCAGAGGGACTTCTTAAAACGAAAACCAGATCATATCACTTCTCTGATTCTACGGCTTCACATTGCACTTAATTTTTTTTCTATCCAAAGTCCTTATAATGGCCTGTAAGGTCCTTTATGATCTGCTAAGTGCCTGCCTTTCCGGCCCTCAATGCATATTATCATCTCTCTTTCAATCACTATGCTGTAAATACACTGATCTTGTGTCAATTACTAATCTAGAGCAAATCCATTCCTCTCCCTGGCACCCCTGTAACCCTTTTTTCCCTCTTCCTGAAATCCCTCATCCTGCCTTCATTCTTTGCAAGGCTGGCTCCTGCTTATCTTTCAGACCTCAGCTTAAATAACACCTCCTCAAATAAAACTCTCCAGACGACTCTACTAGTTGTAGATCCTTCCCCACAAGTCTATATCCTCTATTACTGTGCTCTGTTTATTTTCGTCCTAGCAGTTACAAAAATCCATAATTAATTTGTTTTCTTATTTGTTGTAGAGTTCTCCACTAGAAAGTAATATCCCGTGTATATCGCATACAACTAAGATCTACTATGGAACATTTTATCCCTCGACTTTGGTGAGGGAAGGTCAAAGTTATTTGTAGGAGTTTCTGGCACTCAGGCAACTGTCTAACTAAGTCCTATAAATAAAGTTAGAGTGCTACTAATTTTTCCCTAGTTACCAAAAGGACAAAAGTTTTACCCTAGCTACAAAACCATAACTACATGCTGGCACCAATGGCTTTAGAATGCTAGTCTGAAATAATCGTAATATTAATATAAAAAAGCAGTTCCAATCTAATCATTTGCTTAAGCTAATTTGAGCATAAACATTCCAAATTGTCTCCCTCCCAATACTATAAATTTGCTCAGCACAATAAAATAACAGCATCCCAATCCAAGCTCCACTATTATCAAGCTTGCTGTACAAAAGTTAATTACCTAGAGTCTACAACCATGTGTCCAACAGAGTGGCCACTAGTTACATGTAGCTATTTGAATTTCATTTCATTTAAATTAAAAACTAGTATTCAATTGTCAGTTCCTCAGCCTTAATATTAAAATTTCAGTTCCTCAGTCACATTAGCCACATTTCAGGTGCTCAAGTACCACATGGGGCTTGTGGCTATTACAATGGACAGGGCAGGTGTGACACATTTCCACTGACACAACTATCTTGACTGTAGAACATGGCAATAACTGGACACAAAAGGCCCTTTAAGTAGTCAGAATATCAAAATGTTCATGCACTTTCATCAGCAGAAAAGCTCCGCCAGGCTTTCTTCTAAATTTATTTATTTTTATTTTAGAAGTGTTTCTGTCCTGGTTGTCTGGCTGCTTGCCCACCAAATATTAAAGCAAATTAGGAAAGGGAGCTAAGAAGCAGAAGGAAACAGGGTCAGAAGAAAGGGGATACAGCGGTACCTCGGTTTTTGAATGTGATCCGTTCCAGAAGACTGTTCGAGCTCTGGAACGTTCGGAAACCGAGGGATCTGCAGCCGACAGCTGGGCCTCAGGATCCTGCCCTCAGCAGAAGCCGTGGGGCATGTTCGACTTCCGAGGCGGGTTCGAAAACCGACGCATTTGCTTCCGGGTTTACGGCGTTCCTAACCCGAAATGCTCGCCAATGGTGATGTTGGAAAACCGAGGCACCACTGTATTCTATTAGAGGTGGCCACATCAGAAACGAGAGACCAAGAGAAAGAAATCTAAGACCCCGGGAAGACATCAAAAAGTAGACATGTGTCAAAACAAGGCAACACAGTAATGCAAAACCAACAGAGGCTCCTGAGACACCAGTCTTTTCCAGTCTGAGCAGCAACTGATGTTGACGACTGTCACATCATTAAAAGTGTCTATTATACTATTAAGAACACATACATTATATAGTTATACAGTATTTCAAAAGGACTTACTGCATCCATAGAATGGAACACTTTGGGGGAGGGATGAGGATTATCTTGAAATACTAACATGAAACACCCTCCTACGTGTCTTCAAGTTATTTTAAAAAGCTTCAGAACAACATTAGCACAGTACCACTGAATTAAAAAAGAAACTTGGGCTTGGGGCCCAAAGAATGCTGTGAACTTGTCAAACCTCTTATACCAACTTTATACAGAAAATACTACACCAGTAACTTCAGCTTCCTCTTTAAAGCACTGAAGAAAAGATGGGAGTTAAGAGGCTGTAGGAACAAGAGTAGTAAAAGGTTTAAAGCAATTAGTGAATATGATGCATCTGAAAAATACAAACTGTTCAGCATTTCACAAGCTGTTAATATGTAGTCCAATGAATTTTAAATTGACGCTAGCAGTACAGTATTTCTCTTCTACATTTTATTCATTCAAAATAAAAATACTAAACACATGTATATAATTTCTATTGTTTAAAAGTTGGATGCCATTTTGAGAAATGAAAATAGTATGTGAGGTCCTGTGATGCAGGAAGACAATTTTTAACCAGTGCACTAAGGCATAGGCAGTAATTTAAAACAAAAATGGCTTAATCGCTTTCATTTTTTGCACTTAAAAATGACTTAACTTCTCTAAAACATGCTTTGAAGTCTGAAGCAAATGAATTCACTTCTTGAAGCCATTAACTCATCTCTAAAACCATTTCTGGTGACGACTTTAATCCATACCCACATTTGTGCATGAGTCATACTGCACCGTGCCGTTCAATGCATTATATTTTGAAAAGCATTCCACAGTAAAATAACTTTGAGAAACATGCATTAAGCAATTTTACTATTTGTCAAATTTCTGCTTTTCATCATCTTCTGACAGCATATTAAAATTAATAGATGCTTTTTACTAATTTCAAATATACCTGTAGAAAGAAAATAAGTATCCGAGGAGTGTCAGAGATTAGCTGACAGGCAGACTGTCACACAATTTAAAGGGCTACAATAAGGATAAAGGGAGTGTGAGAAACAGACACTTGAAAGTTCTTGTTCCCCAGAAGGGATACCAAAGGTATAGCTGATTTATATACTCCTCTGCTCTGAATGGCCATATTAAAGCAGCTTTAAGTAAGCAGTAAGATTTCTGGAGAATTAGGACTCTGCCTTTCCTAAATGACACACTTATAATGCCTATTTATGAATCTAAATGTATGACTAGGGGCTGAGGGTCTTCTGAACTAGCAGGGAAAAAATCTATCTAATCCATGCTAAAGTGGACTAGACCATTCCACCCCAGATCTAACCGATGGCTTCAATGTCAAAGTTCTCCCAAACGTTAGCGCATAACAAACTCTAGACACTTATTTTCAGGCTATAACTACACTTTTACTAACATAAATGAGTTCTGTGGGACTTAATCATTTCAGAAACATAGTTTATTTTTAGTAAATATAATAGTCCCCCACATGGGAAGCTACAACCATGCCAAAAATTTTCTATGAGGAGATAAAATCCTATTTATAGACCTATCAGTTGCTCCTTGCTTAGGTTGTAACATAGTTTCCACTTTAATCCTGATATGACCTCCCCTGACTTCTCAGGTCTCTAATGTTCTTCTCATCCTAAAGTTGCTCACATTTATCTTTATCTGCACAGGGTACTTAAGTTAAGCTACTATGGAGTGGGGGGAAGGAAGAAGGAAAGAATCTCCTTTCCCTAAGCCTTCTCCCACTGGCTTTTAGGTAAGTTTCAGGAAAGAGGAGAAGAGAGCTGCTCTTCATGTGGTGAGCTTCTGGGGAGGGAACCTCATAAACATTCAGCAATCATTAACAGTACTGCCACTCGCGTGAGCCATGCATATGGCAAATGGGGCTACTGATGTCTTTATCTGTGCATGCTTTAGCTTAAAGCTTTCCATCTTTAAACCCAACAAGAATAAATATCCAGGGGTTTCTAATGTGGAGAATACCATACTCAAAAGCTAACCAGGGGCCCAACCGGGCGTGGCTCAGCAGTTGAGCATCAACCTAGGATCTAGGAGATCGCAGTTCGATTCCCAGTCAGGGCACATGCCCGGGTTGCAGGCTCGATCCCCAGTCTGGGGCATGCAGGACGCAGTGTATCAATGATGACTCTCTTATCATTGATGTTTCTCTCTCTCCTTCTCCCTTCCTCTCTCTGAAATCAATAAAGATATATTTTTTTAAAAAGAGCTAACCAGGGAACCAAAAGATAAATATGAGATTTATTAAATTTTTCTTAAAAGCTGTGATCCCCTCAGAAGGTTAGCTGTTGTTTTACATTAGCTGCTGGCATCTTTACATGCCCTGTTAAAATGCTAATTAATGGAATCTATCTCCCCCACTCCAGCCCGGTTTCTGGATATGACACCATCAGCAATCCTGTAAGGGCATCTTACTCTAACTTGGTGAACCATTTTCACTGTTCCCTTTCACTAGAAGCAGCATGACCCAGAGCCCATCTCATCCCAGCCCTAGCCCACTCCATACTCTGGATGAAACTGTAAATAAACCCTGTCTTTGCTGCTCTGGAGAACCCTAACCCCTTCATCTCTGAAGCCCAGTAATTTGCTGACCCTGGCTCACCTGTTTTGTCTGTCTTTTACAATCTTAAGCATATACTGCCTTTTGATATTAACTGCATGTTTGTGGGTCTCATATCCTGAATGAGGCTGCAAACTCTATTATGAGCTCCTAAACGGCAACGACCAGGTCTTATCGGTCTCAACAGCATCGGTGTCATGCCAAGCAGCTGGCATATGGCAGGCACACAGTAGACATTGTTGAAATATCTGTTCGGCTGGTCCGGATGGCAAAGACAGTGTAGCAATTATACTTCTCTAATGTGAATCTCTCATTGCACACAACTGGGAAAGCCCAATACAACTGCAGTAGAATTGAATCACAAGCAGTTCCTGAGAGGGAGAAGCACAGGGCCATTAAGTAATGCCAACCTGCCTTTCACTGGATTCTCGTCATCTTTCTCAGGCAATCTAAGAGATGATGGGCACAGGATATACAAAATGCAGGGCAAACTGCAACACTTCCTTACCACAAGAAAACTCTGCCTGCTTTTCTCCCTATAAATTACTTATTCATCCTCTAAGGCCAACCTCTTCCTGCCCACCCTAATCCACAGTGAAATTCCTAACCCTCCAGTACCTGATATAGTTACTTACATTTTCACTTGTAACAAGAAGGGATGGATGGCTTTAAGTTTCAGTAAAAATAAATCAAATTAAACACTGGTGCATTGCCCTGACTGTGAAAGCTAGCAATCACCTTGACTTGGGGTGGTAAACACACAATACAATGTACGGATGACTTATGGTAGAATTATACACCTGAAACCTATATAATTTTATTAACCAATGTCACTGCCAATAAATTAATGTTAGCAAGCACCAGAAAATACTTCTTTAAAAGTTTTTCAACTGTGAAGTTTATAAAATGTTATTTCCCTTTTTCTAAAAAATTGATTTAGAGAGAGGGAGGGAGGGAGCCGGAGCCAGAGAGCACACTAGCACGCGAAGGGGAGGTAGAGAGAGGTGTGAGAAAAAAACATCAATTGGGGAGAGAGAGGTGTGAGAAAGAAACAACAATTGGGGAACGGGGGAGAGAGAGAAAGAAAGAGAGAGAGAGAGGGATAGGTGTGAGAAAAAAACATTAATTGGAAAGAGGA